GACCTTTAAAGGTCCCTTCCAACCCAAACTGTTCTACGATTCTATGAATTTTGTGCCTCTAGCCTTACCTCTGTGTTAACTCGTCTGCCTAGATAAGAAGGACCTAAGGCTGCATGGATCTCAAGCTGCAGGATTCTTTTTATTAGTTTTAAAGCCCTTTTTTATGCTTGGTGAAAACTTGGAGCTGTAGATAGTTTGGGTAAGTGATACGTTAACACTTCTCAAAAAGATAAAATATTTTATTAAAGCCAAAGTGGTGATTTGTTAGACAAATGTTCAATTGTCCCTGGCTGAGCACTTAGCTGACAGTGTATGTTGTCTCTCCCAACTCAGTTTTGAAAAATAATCTTGGGTCAAAAGTGTTCAGACATCATGTTCTAAAGCGAATACAGGAAGCCCATTAGAAGCTTAGATTAGAAGCCAAATTTACAGAGATGCTAAGCATTTGAAAGCTTCCAGTGTTTCATTGAATCCCCATTTCTGAAATTCTGTTCAACTTCTCAGGCATTTGAATTTATATTTGTAGTATAAGGACTTAATTGGATGGTTATTTGCTAAATGACCTAATGACTTACTGCAGATGGTATCTTTCCTCCATTCACCCAGATTTACACCTCCAAGTTCACAGGCAGCAGCATATGCCTCTAAAATCTTGCAGAACTGGTCAGAATCCCCCTCTGTGGCACACAGATCATAGACACAGCTCTCGAAGTACAGTTGTGGGGGAATGTGCCAATGGCAGGCCTGAAAAGGTCCACTATTTTGCAAAACAATTTTGCAGAGTTCTTCATATTCTTTCTCTTTTGCTGTGTCACAAGCAGGCGGCACAACTGAAACTGCATTACACCTGCATGGAAAGTACACAGCAGAGTGGTTATAGAATAAATCTTTGTATTTTGTTATATCCTGCAAGGCATATCTCAAATACAATAGAATCCTATGCCAAATTCTGCAGACTTGCTGTGTATAGTCATCTTTAGTGTGTCAAACCCAAAAGTGAGAAATATTACAACTTAACTCATAACACCCCATTAAGAATATAATAGTGAATTGGTGTTGTATGGCTGTCTATCCATAAAATGAAGTCCAGAAGAAACCAACAAATTAGCTATCCAACACAAGCAAGATAATTTTAATTCCTTATTGTTTATAGTAAGGGCAGTAATTTGTACGTGAAAGCACTAATAGACAGATAAATGCCCCTTGCCTATGTTAAGCAAGGTGCAGTTATCTTACAATCTGAATCTGAGATATATTTAGACTTCTTATAGCAAGAAGGAGGAATATAAAGGAGACATTTTAGGATAAGAAAGTAAGGAAAAATTCAAGTTATATGCATAAAAAGGAGCCCAATCTCAAGTAAAATCTGTAAAGCTCATGTGGAAAAGCTCTGAAGGGTGATTTTAAAATGTCAATATTTTCTGTTGAAAACTGGACTCATTCAAAGGTGAAAACAATAGCAAACCAGCAATATCAAAGAAGGGTTACTATGGAATGTAAATTATGTATATTAGGCCTATAACTCCACGATTTATGTTTCAGGCACTTTGCTGTTTCCTAAAGTATCATCTGATACTTACGTCCTGTTGTCATCCTTCACTATCCAGCTGTCACCAAATTTATTTGGATCCTGTTCTAGGACTTTATCTGGGTTTAAAAAGTCATCTAGTTGGTTGTCATTGAATGTTCCACAAAGACCACACAGCTGTCCTTTGAGACTTTCATCAACCAGAATGAAAAGCTCCTGGTCACCATCAAACTTAACCTGGATCCCTAGAGAGGTATCAACGACCACGTAGTGTCCTTTTATGGCCACTCTGGCTCCATGGTTCAAATCCACAGGAAGTTTAACCTGAACTCCATCCACCTAAGGAAAAGAAAACCCACAAAACCAGGTAAGTCAATAAAGCTCCCAGGAACAAAGGGGAGGTCTGCACTGCCAGCACTATAGTTTTCTCCACCGAGTCAGCCTTATTCTAGTGAACAATGGAGATAACAGAATTTTGAGGTTAAGCAGAGACTAAAGCAGTACACACTTATTTTCTACCTTGAATAGTGCCTTGTAGCACAAGTTTAGCTTTGTGCTGTCACAACTACACACAAAGCAATACTTGGAATAGTTAATTTAAAGCTAAATCTTTGAGACTTAGTCCAGTAAAAGCTTTCTATTACAGATGAAGTCATGGATGAAGCTGTTTCATCCTACAAGCTCATTTAGAAAATATCTGAATAGACAAAAAGACGCTATGCTGATTTCTGCCTTTTTGGGAAAAAAAAATTTTGTGACTTTTAGCATGTGCAGTCTTGGAGGTGAACAAATCAGAGAAGGCTGATTCAGTTCTTTTGGGCAGAAATGTAAAGTGCATAGTGATGGACTGTTTATGCTAAAAGTAGAACACTTACATAGGTCTCTCTATTTTTCTTCAAAACAATGTGAAGGTTTTCCAGTGTGACAGAAACTGAGTTCAAGGCTGTCCAGTTCGGGTTTCCTCTATGTTCATTTCTGGTAGTCACTGAGAACTTTTCAGAAGAATTTGTGCATCTCTCAACAACAGTATAATTGCAGTCTCCTTGGAAATGGTACAGTCTTCCATCAAAGGTTATATAATGTGGATCCCCAAAAATGTGGCAGGTGCTGGGATTCAATGGGTAACATCCCAAGAGTCCATTCTGTACCTTGCAAACTTCACTTACTTCACACATGTCTGAATTGCAAACTACAGTCCCATTTCCAGCACATACACATTGGCCTACACAGTCTGGTTGCCAAAAAGATTCTCCTTTCTGTTAGAGAAATTCAAATTAATACAAATTAGAAGAGTTAATGGTAATGTTGAACTGTGAAATGAGCCCCAGGAATAAGTGCCAGAACAAACCTCATAATATTTGTCATTCTGAAGGCAGCCACAGTTGCTCATGGACACACACTGTCCCCCGCTGATGACAAAACCATTGTTGCATTCACATCCTTCTACACAAGGTTTGCTGCAGTTCTTAGATGCAAGAGGATCAGTGCAGGTTGCTGGACAAGCACTGGTGCATGGGTTGTAATGACTGTTGGGAGGGCATGCAACAGCTGAGAAACAATAAAAGTCACTGAATTAACAATCACAACTCACAGGAAACCACTATTCAATAATGTGATTGTTTTGCCCTAATGACAACTGTACAGGCTTTTTGAAGCCTGAAGTTCTGCTCCTATTCGATATCAGAAAGTAATATAGTAAATATTCCACATGGAAAAAAAAGCATGAATGTCTAACAATATATCCTGCATATTAAGTATCTCCAAATCCAAATAAAACTTTGCCTCTCTACACCAGATCTTGTACACAGACGATACATCTCCATGAGTATAGGGATTGCTAAATTGATTAGATGTAGCCTGGAAATTAGCAAGCTGATTCAAAGTAAAACATCATCTAGAACTCAGAGGTGATTTCACATTAACAGAGGCATACTGCTACTGGTTTGATAAAGATTCTTGAGATACTGAACAAAATTCTCCTCTGTTCTCTGGCAGAAAACAATAATGGCAAGACTTTTGCAGAATTTTATTTCTCAATATTTTGTTGTAATTATGTGAATAATTTAAGATATTAAAGCTGTGTCCATTATTGGCAAAATCAGCCTCTTAAGACAACAACAAAGCTATTGAAAGACTCATTTCACTATGGAAACTCACGGCAGAAGGTAGCATTCCTCCAGGGCAGAAGAGTCACGCCGGCTTCCTGGCACGCGTCAGCGTAGGCCTCCAGAGCAGCACACAGAAACTCCTGACCACCATTCAGGGCACAAAGGTCGTAGAGGCAGGTGTCAAAGTAGCTCTGGGGGTTGATCACGCTGTGGCACGTCTCAAAAGAGCTGGGCGTGCTGGTCAGTATGCCACAGAAGCGGTCCGACTTGTAGAGCTCCTCCTCTTCTGCACTGCAGGGTGGGGAGGGGACGGGGACACCGCAAGAGGGGTCACTGTCTGGGACCTGCCAGCTCTCCCCCAGCGCATTGGAGTCTGCGGCTTGCTGCCCGTTGGGCATCATGTATTCATCATCTCTCCGGTTGTTGAAGTTCCCGCACATGCCACAGGTCAGGTTGAAGTAGGTGGTGGGCACCTTCACCTCCACCGAGTGGTC